GGTAAACGTAGAAGAAACTCAAGATATAATATATTACTAGCAGTTTTCGATCCTGTGACATACTTTTGGTAGTAAAGTAATACTATTATATTTTCTTTACTACGCTATATATGTAGGCCAAATCCTAGGATTCATGCTTTTTTAATTTTTAGCTATGTAATTTGATTGTACACAACCTTATTTGTTTAAACATGATTAATCTACTTGCAGCCAAAAGAATAATGATAAATTTAATCTAATGGAAAACAAACATTTCAAATATTTAAAACTCTATATTATTAGCTATTGATCAGATTTTGACCTGTGAGATATTTAATTTGGATAATGTGAAATAATATCACATTGGTCCATATATAGACGAGGTATAAATGATTCTTGAATATGGTTGTAACTAGTGGTGTCAAACGGGCGGGTCAGGTCGGATATGAGCGAGTCGAAAATAGGTAATACAAAAAACGGATAAATTATCCGACTCGGTCCATATTTAATACAGATAAAAAATGAGTTAACCAACAGATAATATGGGTCCATATTATCCGTGGTTTCTTGAATATGATCACTTTTGGGAGAATTCTTAGCCTCCCAAACTTGAGGATCCTCCCGTTTGAGACTTTACAAATGTAAAAGTTAAATTCATTGTTTATCTATTTTCTATGTGGATAATATGATTCTTATTCATATTTGACCCGTTTTTAAAAAGTTCATTATCTAAATCATTTTTAATGAATAATATAGATGAATAACTATTTTCTTTTAACTTTTTTGCCATGCCTAACCAAAATCCTCCTAAAATTTAGGTAGAACCTATTCTTTTATAACATGTAGTTTGGAAGTATGGTTATTGGGTGCTTGTGGAGGGGTGGTCCTCTTGTGGTCTAATCATTGTCCAAAACAAACTTTATTTGAATTGGGACTTTGAGAGGAGTTGCCTATAGAGTGGGTGAGTTTGAAGAAGAAAAGATCAGATTAAGAATTTTGAAATTTATGAGTTCGAGATTGTAGTTTATTTGCGTTACTGATTTAATAAGTTGTACGTTAAAATTATTAGATTCAGTCGAATCCATAAAAGACTGTCACCTACTGTACATCCTCTCCCTAAAAGACTGTCACCTTTTCTTATTGAATATGATAATGTTACTCAATCATGCAGGCACAATTGCACAAAGGTGATTGATCTTTTAGGTACATGAGTGTGACAGATGCTAGTTTTCCCACCCAAAAACAAAAGAAAGAAAGAAAGAATGATTTTCTTCCAATAGTTTGTGATTTTCTTCCAATAGTTTGTGTTATACGCAAATGATTTTCTAAAGAAAATTGCATAATACTTGCTGATTGTTTTTTCTTAGAATTTTCACCAAAACTGGATGCTTGAATTGTATATTATATCCTGTCCCATTTTACATATGTCAAGTCCTCCTTTACTCTTCTTAAGCGACAAACATATACTTAACATTAACTAAATTCTAGCAAAAAATATTGTACCATATCTTATCGGATTTCGTTACTATATATACAACATGATGATTTTGTAATTAATACTTCATGACTTAGTAATTTCATCACAGTATGATGTAAGTAAGAAATTAAAGATGAGTGCAATAAGTTAAATATTAGTACGTGGTTGTCACAGACAAACTATCGCAAAATTAAGTCCATTGAAAGTTTTAATCTCTCAGCTAATTTGAAGCCTTTCTGATTTCAATTAGTTTTTTTAGCTTTCCATTGTATTGCGCAGACTCTCCAAAATACTGCTAAACTTGTGTCAGATGTCCAAAAATAAATTACTTTTAGAGAATTTGACATACCTTCGGCGATATTTTCAGAGTCCGAGCAACATAGATTTTCTAGACTATTAATATAGACTATTAAAGTATTTCTTTTTATCCTCAACCATTGAATGAAACATATGTTTTGGGGAATAATATAAATGTAAAATGTGTACAATCATGTCAATTTATAAGAAAACAACATAAACCGAGAATATGGGAATGTTATATCAAGAAACTGTTCATACACAGTTGCATTTTAGGCAAGTTATGCTCTGGATTTCTGGAGATAGGAATATATCCAAGAAAGATGTTAGCTTCTTTATCTTACTCAATAAACTATTGGGCTTCAAATGAAAATTCTGTTTTAAGTGTGGGTCAAAACCATATTCCACAATGTGTTTTAAGTTGAAATAGTATAAGATAGGGAAAATTTCAAGTAAGAACAACTAGGCTCCATACTTTTCAATTTTATAGCTCACATTTCAATTTATAACTAACTAGCCAAAAAATAATAGGCTAAGATTCAACATCCAACTCCAATAAGTTCTCGAAATTACAATTTAATTTTTAAAAAAGATTGCTCAAGCTTTTAAGTTAATTTTCGAATCAATAACTACGACTCAAATATTAGTTCAACAAACCAAATCCATTTGGGTGGTGAAAATTAGATTTTTAACAAGCTTAAATATGTGGGTTTAAATTTCGAATTTGATTTTGTGAGAAATTTGGAGGGGGTGTTATTTAGACTTGTTAGAAATAGTATAAGGAGGTTGTATATAAAATTTGAAGTCATTTAATGGAGATTTGGACTGGTTTTGAACAAGAATTGCAATTGAAAATCGTGGAAGAAGTTCGTATATAGACGCTTGTATAAATGTGTATAAAAGTGTATAAGATGTGTTTATACACTCATATACACTATTATACAAGATTATACATAATTATACAAAAAACTGACGTCGTCTTCTTTCTTGCGTCTTTTCTGTAATTTAACTCAAATATTGCTCAAATCTACTCCAAATCACTCCAAATTTAAATTTTGAACTCCTTTTGACATTTTCAATCAATTGGAACAACACCCAATCCAAACAACTAACAAACTCAAAAAATCATATTTTCGAAAGCAAAGCTTTGAATGGCCTATAACGGTGGACTTTTACTCTTCAATTTTCTTACATTGCAACCAGGTGACACAACAGGGGAACCAGAAAATACATGGCCCCTTGCCCCATATGTAGAAGATGTGAGAAGAAGAGAGAGAGTGAAAGCAATGGTTGTGAGAACACAGATTTAACTCCATAGCGTTTAGAAACAATGGTTGTAAGAACACAGATTTTGAATTTGCTAGTGCTTTCAAAATATGTACAATATAGGCTATGTCGGGTAAAACTTAAAAACATGGGCTATTTTTTTTTATGGTGTGAAGTCACGTGTATTTTTTTGTAATTCTTTCTAAGATATTATATCAAGGGAAATTAGAAGATATTATTGGACCTAAGAAAGGTCACGGACAGACCAAGATTCACTTAAACTATAGCACGTGAAATATTACAATTAATTCCAAAAACATATAAAAGAAATAGGAAATACAGTCTCCTCAAGATTTTGACTTATTCTTGAATAAGTTTTGGCTATTAACTAAGTAAAAACATGTTCATGAAAAGAACTAATGTCATTTTCACCTTATACTTATTAAATCAAAAATTGCAGCTTGAGAACCCCCTTTTTTTTTCTTTTTACATTTGGCAACATATTAATCTAGTCATGGCAAATTTTGACAAAAACGAATACCTAGCTAGTTTACATCCTCATACAAAGAAATTGATATAGCTAGTAATGTTCTGACTGAAACATCCAAAGTCATGATCAGGTAATTGAGAATCTGGTCATGTTATAAGGGGCCACGCTACATGCCTTTTAACTTGAGAAAATTAATAGTGCAAAGTTACATATTTGGTCGGTCGGCTAAATATAATTACATTCGCTAGCCATATATATATATATATACATATAAAAAATACATTAAAATACAAAAACAATTCTGGTTATTATTTTCTAGAACGGCAATACAATATAATTTTCCCAAATTAATATACTTTGGTAAGCAGCCACTTTTGCCGAATCGAATCAAACTGGTCATTTAGCGGCGGACCTTTCGGCTAGTAGTAGTTGTTGTACTAAGATACAATTACCCAATGTACTGATGTTTTGTTCTTCACAATCCCTCTCTCAGTGCATAAATCGGTGCCTTTAAACTTTTTACATTACCTCAATACTTAAGCTAAGGTGATTCAAATGGTGCTATAAATGATTAAGATGCAAATGGTGTATGTTACTTAGTAATAATATAATAGATGCAGTGATATGTATTATATTAGTTAGATAGCTTGAATATACAACTACACATGATTCTTCTACTCTAAAGTAAGACTTAATTTGCCACATTGTAAAACAAAAAACCATATTAGTTGAAAATAAGTATAGGAGTTGCAATATTGATAATGAAAGTTGTAACTCTTATATATGTTTAATGATAGACAAAAAAAAACAATTTTGATAAGCTATATCCTCTAGTAAACTCATGTGAATTGTTATATGATATTGAGAACATTAACTCGAATCATCAAAATAATAAGTTTTTACTTAAATACTTGTTTATTTTATGTCATTTTAAAAGTTTAATAAAACGGAATATCACTTCTTACTAAACAAAACAAAAAGATAAATTCCACTGAACCAAGGAGTAATTTTCTTATCGTGAGGAGTTACTTTAAACGAAAATTCGCAACTATATCAAAATCTCAATGCTTCAAAATTTGCTTATGCAGAAAAAAAGAAAAATTAGAGAGAGAAGAAAAGTTATCCACGTCCTCAGACAACCCAGTCCACCTAATACTAGCCACGTTACAATATTACATGCAAACTCTCGTCTTCTTTAACCTAACCATACTACGCGGTCACCTCGTAACCACTC